ACACAAAAGATCACATATTATATAATTTCTTTCATATCAAAGTACAGGATATGAAAATCTAGAAATCAAAAATAATAGGGAGCCAGGCATGGTAGCTCGTGCCTAAAATCCCAGCACCTAGCGAGGCTGAGGCAGGAGGATAGCAAGTTCAAAACCAGCCTCAGCAAATTAGCAAGGCCCTAAGCAACTCAGTGATACTCTGTCTCAAAAAATAAAAAATAAAAAGGGTTGGGGATGTGACTCAATGTTTAAGCACCCCTGGGTTCAATACCTGGTACTAAAAAAAAAGAAAAGAAAAACATAACAGGGGATGCTTATGGATGGGTACAAGGAATAGGAGGTAATAGCTAAAGTTATAGGGTTTCTTTTTTTTTTTTTAATTTTTAATATTTATTTTTTAGTTCTTGGCGGACACAACATCTTTGTTGGTATGTGGTGCTGAGGATCGAACCCGGGCCGCACGCACGCTAGGCGAGCGAGCTACCGCTTGAGCCACATCCCCAGCCCCTATAGGATTTCTTTTTGAGGTGATAGAAATATTTTAAAATCATAATAGATGATCTGTGAACATATTAAATACCAGTGATGGGCTGATGTTGTAGTGTAGTTCAGTGGTAGAGTGCTCACCTAGCACGTGTGAGGCCCTGGGTTCCATCCCTAGCACCACATAAAAATAAGTAAATAAAATAAAGGCATTGTGTCCAACTACACCTAAAAATTAAATATTTTTTAAAAATACCATTGAATTGAACACATTTAATGAGTTAAGCAAACGCTTTGTGAAATAATCTCAAGAAAACTTGATTTTATTTTTAATCCATACAAAAAAGGGAAAATTTTAAAATTCTTGCTAGGAAGCACACATAACATGGAAACAAAAACCTGACGAAGCCATGAGTGGTGGTGCACACCTGTAATCCCAATGGCTGGGGAGGCTGAGGCAGAAGGGTCGCAAGTTCAAAGCCAGCCTCGGCAAAATGGAGATGCTAAGCAACTTAGTGAGACCCTATTTCTAAATAAAATACAAAAAGGGCTGAGGATGTGGCTGTGGTCAAGTGCCCCTGAGTTCAATCCCTGGTACCAAGAAAAAAACAAAAACAAAAACAAAAACAAAAAAACACCTGACATGAACTGTACACACACACACACACTACACACACACACACACACACACAAGACTACAGATGAATGTCAAAATAAATAAATAAATAAATAACTGAATCACAAATAAAAATGTAACCAAAACACCTCAGAAACTAGAACCTTGCAAAACTAGGAAACAGTGCATGTATACATATAATAAAATCCCCTTTTTACTAGAAAGATAAAACTATTTCAAATACAGTATAATATGCAGGGAAAAAAAATCAACTGTGATAATTTTTTCCAGTATATTATAATACCACATTACACTAAACAAACACTAAGGAAATAGAACAAAATGATATATACATTATAAATAAATCAAAATTGAATCCTAAAATATTTTCAAACAAGCTAGAGGAAGGCAAGAAAATACAAGAATAACAAGAAATAGAAGAAACAAACAGAAAACAAATAATAAAATAGCACTTAAGCTCTACCATATCAACAATTACCTTAAATGTAAGTGGTCCAAAGACATAATTTATAAGAGAAAGACTGGCAGAGTGAATTTTAAAAAACCCAACCACACTAAGTTCTGTCTACAAGAAAATCATTTCAAATACAACACACACAGTTGAAAATAAGATGATGGGAAATTATATATTGTTGAGATAATGAATCCAAAGAAAACAGGAGTGGCTATCTTAATTATAGATAAAGTAGACTTTAAAAGGCAATACAATTCACTGTGTCCAATCAACATAATACCTGGCAAATCCAAAATCACTGTAGTTTTCTACTACATGGACTAAATATACTAATGTGGGTTTGATATCATCATTTTGTAGATTATGTGTCAAGCTTTCCAAATTGAAATTGGAATAAAACTTTAAGAGTGGAAATAAAAATAAAACATCATCTTTTTTTTCCCCCCTAAGAAAAGTAGACTTCAGAGCAAAGAAAATTACTGAGGGAAAAAAAAAGGGATACTAAATAATGAAAAAGAACCAATCTACCAAGATATATAATGTTTCTAAATATATATGTATAAACAACAGATGCATTAAAATACATAAAGGAGGGCGGGGTTGTGGCTCAGAGGTAGAGCGCTTGCGTGAGGCATTTGGTTCAATCCTCAGCACCACATAAAGTAAAATAAAGACACTGTATCCACCTATAACTAAAAAATTTTAAAAAATAAATAAATAAAATAAAATACATGAAGCAAAACCACATAAATAATTCTGGGGTGAAGTCCTACAAATATAGTTGCAAACTTTAACATTTCATTCTGACCAGTGATAGATAACCATATGAGAAATTTAACCATATAGGAAATCTAATAAGACTACAAGATAACTGCCAGGCTTGGTGGTGCATGCCTCTAATCCCAGCAGTTTAGGAGACTGAGACAGGAGGATTGCAAGTTCTAAGCCAGCCGCAGCAACTTAGTGAGGCCCCAAGTAAGACCCTGTCAGCAAGACCCTGTCTCTAAATAAAAGATAAAAAGGGCTGGGGAGGTGGCTCAGTGGTAAAGAGCCTCTGGTTTCAACCCCAGGTACCAAAAAACAAAGACAAAAACCAGGATAAATTAATAAAACAAAGAACAAGATCTGACTTACACATTAAACATATGCACCCAATATTAGTATATTTCTTTAAGCACCCTGGAACATTTACCACAGTAGAACATATCTTGAGCCAAAAACAAGCCTCAACAAATTTAAAATAACTGAAATGATGTTATGTATGTTCTCAGACCACAGTGAAATCAAACTAAAAATTAATATTGAAAAGACCATAGAAAAATCTCCAACCATTTAGAAATAAAATAAAACACTTATAAATAATCCAGGGATCAAATAGGAGGTCTCAAAGGAAATTTTAAAAACACACAAAATTGGATGAAAATGAAAATACAACATATCAAAACATACAGGATACTACTAAAACATGCCTGAGAGAAATTTATCACAAACATATCTATACAGATGTAGACATAAATGTTAAATGCTTAGAAAAAGTCTTAATAATGTAAGTTCCAATCTCAAGAAAGTAGAAGAGCAAATAAACCCACCCAAAATAAAAGGAAGGATATAATACTGAATTTGAAAACAGAAAAATGATGGGAAGGAACAATCAAAAATCTATTTCTTAAAAAACAAAAAAACTTGGGCTGAGGTTGTAGCTCAGTGGTAGAGTGCTCGTCTCACATGTGGAAGGCACTGGATTCAATCCTCAGCACCACATAAAAATGAAAATAAGGATATTGTGTCCATCTACAACCAAAAAAAAAAAAACATTAAAAAAACAAAAAACTTCAGGCTGGGAATAGGGTTCAGTGATAAAATGGGCTCAATCCCCATTACCACACACACACACAAAATCTTCAATAAAATAAATAAACCTCTTACAAGTCTGACAAAGAAAAAGACATAAAACCACCAATATAAAATGAAACAAGGAACATTAATATAGATCCTGTTGCCACGAAAAGGATAATAAGGAACTAATACTAACAAATATATATATATATATATATATATATACACATATATACATATATATACACACACAAATATATATACACTCATAAATTTTGATAACTTAGAAGAAATGGACTGAAAATCATAAACCATCAAAATTCAACCAAGATGAAACAGATAATCAGAATAGTCCTCTATTAAAAGAAACTGAATCATAATTTAAAAGATCCTAAAACAGAAATCTCCAGGCCCTGATGGTTTCATGTAAAGAATTAATGCTAATGTTATACAATCTCTTTCAGAAAATAGAGAAGGAAGAAACACTTCCAAACTCATTTTATGAGCTCAAGCAAACTGAAGACAGTACAAAATAAGAAAACAACAGGTCAATATTTCTGATGAACAGAAACAAAAATTCAAGCCAGCAATGTGTAAAACAGAATTATACATCAAAACCAAGTATGGTTTATGTCAGATATGCAAGGCTGGTTCAACAGAAAAATCAATCAATGTAATCCAGCRTACTAACAGACTAAAAAAAAATCATATCCATTGAACAGAGAAAAGGTACTTAACAAAATCCAACATCTATTCATAACACAGTCCCAGAAAAATAGGAGGGGTACTTCCTCGACTTGATAAAAAGCATCTTCAAAAAACCTACAGCTGGCATCATACTTAACGACGAAAGCGAATGCTCTCTCATCAATCATTTAACAACATAGTACTGGGAATTCTAGCCAGTGGGAGAAGGCAGGAAGAAGGAAGGAGAGCAAGGAGGCAGGGAAGGAAAAAGAAAAAGAAAGGAAGGAGAGACAGGAAAAGGAAGGGGGGGAAGAATGGAAGGAGCGAAGGAAGGCAGGCAGACAGGCAAAAAGTTTTCTCTATTTATAGATGACATAATTAAAAAATTATTCTAGGCTGGGCACACATGCCTATAATCTCAGCAATTTAGGAGGCTGAGGCAGTTCAAGCCCAACCTTAGTAACTTAGTGAGACCCTATGTCATAATAAAAAATAAAAAAAGGGCTGGGTATGTAGCTGAGTGATAAAGCACTTCTGGGATCCATTCCCAGTAACAAAAAAGAAAAAATGTAAAGGTAAATTATTCTATGTATGTAGAAAAATCTCAAGGAATTTACATAAATATTCCTAGATATAATAAGTGAGTTCAGCAAGGTTTAAGGACATACATTTAATACCATTTTTATACACCAATGAAAACCTCAAAAACTGATACTAAAAATCACAATGCCATTTATAATAATTCCAAGAAAATTAAATACCTGGGTATAAATCTAACAAAACATGTACAGCAGTTGTCAAAGACAACCTAAATACATAGACACACCATGTTACGGACTGGAGGACTCAGAGAACGGGTGATTAGGAAAGAGGTAGCATATCTTGTAAACATTTTCCAATTACCTGACTCCTGTTTGATTTGGATGGTAGGTTTGATACCAGGTGGCAAAGGGGACTGCTGAGGCTGTTGCTGATGAGATACTGGAGAAGGCTGGGCCACCTGTTGCTGTGTCTGTTGTTGCACTTGATGTAACTGCTGCTTAGGAGACTGTTGATGCTGTTTAGGAAACTGTGCGAGAATCTGGGTTGGAGCACTCACTAAGCTTTTGGGGGAAGGAAGTCTTGTTGATGCCATTTTAATTGCTGATGTAGATACACCTATAGAAAGGTAAAGAGAATTGGACAGGAAAGCATAACTAAAATTACTTTAGATTACTACAGTAGATAATAAAGTCCAAGAAATTTAACAAAAACTATGGTTTACTGAGCACCCTGTAAGATATAATGTATGGGGCTTTATATATTTGATGCCTTGTCCTCAAACTGCAAGGTAGGCAGTACGAAAACAACTGATTTTCCCTTGGTGAAGGGTAGAAAGAAAGAGTAGCAGACAGAAAATTTGCAGAAAGATCTCTCTATAGGAAGTGAACTAATTATTTAATCCTATATGCAATACATATTTATAATAAATAATAATAATAATAATAAATTGTCATCATCCAATTTAAACATGGCATCAGATAAAATAACTCACACTTAACCATTTGTCTTTTCAATTATTTAKCATGGCAAAGTAGCTTTTCTATATCTCATCGCTAATCATCTATAAATTCATTTCTTAAGAACTCTTGGTCATTAAATAATCTTATGAAAAGTTATAAGTGTGCATGTGCAATATATCCACAGTTAAAATTCTGRTGGTTCTTTTCAGTAGTATATTGGTATTAGCAAGCACACTCAGGTAAAGAGTACTAGTAACTTCCACTAAATATATATGAGTTTGAAAAGTTCTTCCCTCTCTCAGAATTTTCAGCTGTAATATTATTGTAATTTATTAACTCTTCAACTGGACATTGTCAATGAGCTAAGATTCCTAGCAGGAACAACTGGAATATAACTCACCATATTAATTTTTTAAGTTTTGCTGAAAAGATAAAAAGAAACTAAGTATAAGGCTAGGGTTGCAGCTCAGTGGTGGAGTGCTTGCCTCACATGTGTGAGGCACTGGGTTTGGTACTCAGCATCACATAAAAATAAATAAATAAAATGAAATGAAGGTATTGTGTCCATCTACAACTAAAAAAAAATTAAAACTTAAAAAAAAAACTAAGTATAAACAACCTAATACTCAAGTACTAGGGATGTTATTTAACAGCTTCCTCTACCACATTTCTACCATGGCAAATACATGCATTACAAAATAACAACAACAACACATTCTCTTTTAATGCAGGGGATAGGTGGGCAATCTTTTGGGTGGAGGGACTGAATCCAGAGCATCCAGCAAGGCAAGTACCCTACCCCTGAACTACATCCCCAGTCCTAATACCACATTCTTATGTAAATGTCTCTCAAGAATAGCAAAGATGGAGATGGATAAACCTTTTTTTTTTTTTTTTTTTTTTTAAAGAGAGAGTGAGAGAGGAGAGAGAGAGAGAGAGAGAATTTTATTTATTTTTTAGTTCTCGGCAGACACAACATCCCTGTTGGTATGTGGTGCTGAGGATCGAACCCGGGTCGGACGCATGCCAGGCGAGCGCGCTACCGCTTGAGCCACCTCCCCAGCCCAGAGATGGATAAACCTTAAGAAGTCAGTCTCAATAGGCTCAATGTCCTCATGTGTTGTAATTTTCCTTTCCTTACAATTCTGCAAGAGTTACTGTGTGGATTATGTAAAACCAAAGACGAGGAACAGTTTTCATTACTTAGACATTTCCCCATCTCCTTCACTCCCACCCATTTCTTGAAATCAGCTTGTTGGAGCAGAAAAGGAATGCAAGTAGGAGATTCTAGAGGCAGGTTCTCATTTAACTCAAAGAGAGGACATTGGGAATTGTCCCTCATTACAGTACCAGGTTCACATTCTTCATTATGGTCTATTAGAGGCAGTGCTCATTATGTTACGAGTCATTTTTGTGACATATGTATTCTATATTGCTTAATCATGTTGAATTAGACTATCTCTGGACCCCCTTTTGGTGCCAACATTTTACGAGTTTATTATCCAATGAGTATAAAGTGTCATACAGGTGAAAGATTATTTTTAAACTATTTAACCTCTATATCTCTATATTACCTCTATATTATAATATTATTGTATTATATCCATATACTTTTTTTAAAAAAAGGGACAATTTCCTTTATAATAAGAAAAATGAATATAACTTACCTGAAAGTTTTAGAGTTCTTCAGTATTGTCAAACAATATAACGAGTAAACCTCTGTGAGGTAAAAAGATTTTCACTCCATGTGCTTTTTTTTTTTTTTTTAGTTGTAGTGGTATATATTTTATACATGTATGGTGCTGAGGATCGAATCTAGTTCCTCACACATGCTAGGCAAGCGTTCTACCACTGAGCTACAACCCCAGCCCTCCATACACTTTTGTATATGAAAAGTATCAGATGTAAAAGCATTCAGGGTGACTTAAGAATCAAAGAATTCTATTTAATTCATGCCTTCAACACATAAACACATAACAGCCTGTGACCTGAATGATGTACTTAGACTCTGAGTATTTATTCATTCAGTAATAAATCACTGAACACAAACTATATGCTACATCTTGGGGAAACTATTTTGCGAATAGTCCCTACCTTGGGGAGGGTTCAAGTTTAGAGAAGCCTAGCATAAATGAGGAGCCGGGTTTAAGTCCTAGCATTGCAAAAACAAAGCATACAGGAGAAAATAATCATATGTGATCACACAAATCTATCCTTTCAAAGAAAGGGGTTATGTGTGCTTTAACAAGTAAAAGGTCCTCTTCCTTTGCCCTTAGGTTCCCAAGCAAAGGGGTGGCTGGGGAATGGTGTCAGAACTCAACTGATGTGAGGCAGAAGTATGTAGGTTATCAGATCTAATGGAGGGAAGAGAGMAACTGCTTAGGGAAGGAGGCCATAGCCTCAAGGATGAGAAATAGGTTACATATTAGAGGACTGATAAAACAAGTTAATATATGATAGTGGAGGCTAGGTTTTCCACTATTAAAGTAGGGAAAGAGAAAAGTAGAATTTAACATGCAGTGTTTGATTGAAACTGGATGTATCAGTATGAACAGTTTTCAACATATGGGAAATACATGTAAACATAAATATGTGTGTGTATTAATGTGAGTGAACATGTGCATGTAGACACACATGCACAAGTTTTTATACACACATATTCTCCATCAGTAAGCATATTTAGCACTCATATCTTAGCTTCTGCTTATCACCTTCCACTAAACAAACTATGGCTCCTTGGAGAAATAGCTGATCCCAAGGCTGGATTAGCAAAAGTACAGGATGAGCTTGATAATTATCCCCAGATTTTTTTTCACCCTCTTTTATAATTCCTTTAAAAATCAAACAAGTGCCTGTTTAAGCCTATTAACAAGGCAAAGTTCATATAATAGAGGTTTGTACATATACAAAAACCATAACACAAAGATGGGACAGAGGAAATGCATTCATTCTAACATAAAACCCCAAGTGTCTTATTGTTTGAAGGTAGATTGTCATAAATTTAAAATGCATATTCTAAGCTCTAAAGCTGGGTTCTCAATTGAGGGCAATTAAGATATTTGGCAATCACTGCGGACACTTTTTACTGTTTTGAGTGGGTACACTACCAGCATCTAATAGTTAAGGCCAAGGATAATGCCAAACATCCTACAATGAAAAAGTCAGTCACCACAACAAAGAATTATCTGGACCAAAATGTCAATATGGAGTATAATAATATTGAGAACATATGCTGGAACACCTTACTTTAGGATACCCATTTTTTTTTTGGGTGTGGCTGAAGGAGGTGGGTCATTGGAGTGTGACTTTGTGGTATATTCTTCGTCCTTGGTGAGAGAAGAACTCTCTCTGCTTCCTAATAGCCATGTCCTGAGCTGCTTTCCTCCATGACATTCTTCCAACATMATGTTCTGCCATACCTCAGGTACAGAGCAAGGAAGTCAGCCTTCTATGGACCAAGACGTCTAGAATTGTTATCCCCAAGTAAAATGTTTCTCTTCTAAAATTGCTCATGTCAGGTCTTTTGGTCACAGAAAAAAAAAAAAAAAAGCTGTTTAAAACAAGCTGACATCCAAAGTTTCCATAATAAAGTGTATGTCTAAAAAGTGTTACTAGGTGAAGTCTGCTTGCTGCCTTTTTCTGACAGAGTGCTTTCTGATGGTTAGAGCCAAAAAAGCCACCAAAAACCTGAGAATTCTTTGTTTGTTTGATATCAGGGAATGAACCCAGGGGCACTCTGCCTCTGAGCTACATTCCCTGACCTTTACTTTTCAAATTTTTATTCTGAGAAGGGTTCTCGCCAATTTGCTTAGGCTGACCTTGAACTTGCAATCCTCCTGCTTCAGCCTCCATAACAGCTGGGATTACAGGTATGTGCCATGACCTACCAAGACCTGAGACGTTTTTACTGGGGTGAATTGAACAATAAGATAGAAGGTGGGTCTACAGCATCTCCATAGGGTC